TTTTAGTATGTCCTATGCAGTACTTGAATTAAAACTTAACTAGAGGGCCTCCCCAGTGGCGCAGCGGTTGAACACTGGGTTGTGAAGCTGCCCACAGCCTCTGCAGCTCCAGTTCAATCCCCGGCCTACAGGCGAGGGTCCCACATTGCGCGCAGACCTCTCCTGCCGCCCGCTGCTCCCCTCAGCAGTGTACTTTGTCACTCTGCCTGTTCTACTCTGCACTCTGGCTCTGGTGAATTCTCTCACCCTCCAGTGCCTCTGACTGTACCCAGTGCTTGTATAAATAAATAAATAAATCTTAAAAAAAAAAAAAACTTAACTAGATATTCTGTATTTTATTTGCTAAATCTGGTGACCCTAACTAAAACCATTCTTGATCTCCCTTCAGCTCCAGGGCTTTGAGGTTCTTCCGAACTTCTAATACCAATCACCTGTGTCTCCATTTGACACCTATTTTGCGTGTGTTTTTTACTGAAGTATAATTGATATATAACATTATGTCATTTTGAGGTGCACAATACAATTATTAGATATTTGCATATTTTGCAAATGAAAACCACAAAAAGTCTAGTTAATATACACCCCATATAAACTTGGAATTTTTTTCCTCTAAGTTGTATGTATGTCCATGTATTCTGCTTCCTTGATACAAGCTCCTATATATTGAATTGTAATTCCCTATGCCTCACAGAAATTCTTGCCAGTAGTGATGACCATAAATACTTTTTAATTGAGAGATTGATTTACCATCAATGAACAAGATAGCCAGCAGCTCTGTATTGGGTAACTGCTTCCTATTCTATCCAGAACTATGTTGTAAGTTTTGTCATTGGTAAGTGTAGTATTTGCCTTCAAAGAGATTATAACGTTGTAAACAGAAAATGCACATCAAAAACCATTAGTGAATGACCCTAAAAGGCATATAATTAATTGTACAACCGACTAAGGGCAATAGTAAATCAATGTGGGTAGTACCCCTAAGAAAGAAATAGTGAGGAGAGAGAGAATCTGAATTGGGATTCAAATATAGGGAAGGACTTAGATCAGAGAGGACTGGGAAGGGCGACGCCACCTGTGGGAATGTTTGGCAACTGCATGGAGTGGAAAGGAAATCTTTTCTCACAGGAGGCTGTGATTTTGCTCAAGAGAAACAATTAGGATTTGCTTGGACTGTGGTTACAACTGGTTTTTAGTAGTTGCTTAAGATTAAGAGCATTTGTATCACTGAGAATCTATCCTACTTGATAGGTCATTCCATGGAGAGTCACAGCTCTTGATTAAAAAAAAAAATCATTAAAGTAAGAATTCTATGAAATAAATTACCCAGAGAAATCAGCTGGGTTTTCCCCAGACCACCCGGGAGGAGAAAAGAATAAACATTTTTATTGGTTATGATTATGCATTACACATTGGTCCCTAACAACCCTTACATCCCCCTTCTCTGGATTAACATAACAAGCAGAATTCAAATAGTGACATTACTGAAAATTATTGAATTTCATTTCCAAGAAACTGAGGACAGATGTTGAGGAGTGTTCTCGTCTGTAGAAATTCATGTTCTCCTACAGTTATAATCTATTAATACTCTATAAGATGGAAAGTCTTTTACTTTATTTTTATTTTTAGATTGCTCCCTCCTTAATAAAGTTGGTGTCTTTAACGTGTGCTTCTAATACATGCTAAATTTGCAAAATGTTTTGGATACCAAATCGCATTCTCTCACAAAAAAAGCACCAGCCTACAAAGTGTTGCCATTCTTGGTATTAATCAGTTGACAGAATTAAATATATTCAACCCCAAAATGTTTCTACCTGACAGGTAGAGTGATTCATATTGACCTTCCATGAAAGATGTGCCTGGACCCTTACAAGTGACATGATTTATTAACCAAAAAGAAAATAGACAAACATGATTTCAGTCTTCCAAATTTCCAAAGACATTCCAATGAAATCTCTTAGAATGGGTGTCAGGAGGATTGCTGTGGTACAAGGCAAATTGTGTTGTTTGTTTTAAGGAAATAAGCTAAATAGGGAAGAGGTTTTTTAAAGATACCCAATTGGAAGTATTACATCTTTGCACATGGCTTAGCAATGTACAAGTATGTCCAACCCTATTGCCACACTGACCTCATCCTGAAAGAAGAGTTAGAAGGCCTCTTGGCAGTCTTGAGATGGATTGACTTTCTGCATTTTATCCAGAGGCCCCAGCTTTGTCACCAGTCACATACAAATTTGGCCAGTGTCGGCTAGTTTCATTTGCAAAATTGGTGGTGGGGTAAGTGGACAGTGGATAGATGATCTCTTTGAACCTTTCCAATCTAATATTCTTTTTTTAAAAAAGATTTATTTTTTTATTTTTTTATACAAGGACTGGGGTACAGGCCAGATGCGTGGGGGGTGAGAAGATTCACCAGAGACAGAGCGGGGAACAGAACAGGCAGACTGATGAAATACACTGCTGAGGGGAGCAGCGGGCATGACAGGAGAGGTCTGCCACGCCATGTGGGATTCTCGCTGGCCAGTGAGGATCGAACCCATGCTGCAGAGGCTGCGGACAGCTTCACAGTGTGGCTCTCAACTGCCTGCACCACCAGGGAGGCCCCAATCTAATATTCTATAGCTCTAAAGCATCCTTATGTTGAATCTATTTGCTGCTGGCCAGCAGCTGGTATACCTGTCAGTGATGCCCAGAAGGATCTCTTGGGGGTTCTCACTTCCCACGGTACTCACTCTCCCTTGGGTCACAGTAATGATCAGGGGACCCTGACAAGAGGCAGGTGTTACCTATGAGGTTCAATTTGTTATACCATCACCATCTGTTTATATGTCCTTATAATAGTATGTGTAACATACTTATCATTTTCCTCCAATTTTCTTGATTTATTAATCCAATTATAAAAAATCAACAACAGTGAAAGGATCCCACCTCCTTTCTCTCATGGAGTAGTTATTTATCCTGGTCACAACCAAGAGTGATTAGAAGACCCACTGGCCAGGAGGCCTCTTAGAGAAGAAAGAGGAAAATGAAATGGGAGGAGGAGTGAATGGGGAGTGAAGGCCAACATCTGAACTCATGCATCTGCTTGGTAAGGCAGACCCCCAAGCTGGTTTAATGCAGAGAGGAGAAGAGAGCCTTACCAGAACTTATATCCAAGTTTTTGATGTGTGGGAAAGAGGAAAATGTAAGAAAGTACACTTAGGAATATAGAGAAAGCATCAACACAGGATAGGCATTTTTTACCTATCCCAAATGAACATGTGGCCATTTGGGCTGAACCAGCAGAGGGTCCTCCAGAACCTTACTTCTGTACAATAGGCCTGCATGCACATGTATTTGAATGAACCTATCTCTTTGCTATTTTTGTGGGTTTAAGATTTATTTATTTATGCATATAAGAACTGGAGTACAGGCCAGATGTGGGGGGCAAGAGGATTCACCATAGACAGAGGGGGGAATTGAATAGATGGATTGACTGAAATACACTAATTGAGGGGAGCAGTGGGCGAGACAGGAGAGATCTGCTGCGCAATGTGGCCAGCTCCGTGGCCCAGAATTGAACTTGTGCTGCAGTGGTTGCAGATAGCTTCATAGTACTGCATCTTAACCCCTTGCACAACCAGGGAGGCCCCTAATTTTGTATTTTTGCTTCTTACTTGTCTTTCCTGTTTGTCTCTCTCCTGTCCTGCTAGATCTTAATTCCTTCTACCTTCCCTTCTTTCTCTCTCTCTTTCATGCTTCCACTTTTTAAATTAATATATTTTTAAATGAAATACCTTTTTCTTACATCATTGTTAATTTTTGGACAGTAAATGATTCCTCCCCTCAGGTGTGGTCACTGTACTTCTCTCACCGCCACCTCCCACTTATCTACCTTGTAATAATATGCAGTCATGCCCTCTGAAGTAAGAGATACAAGCTTCAGAGTTCTGTTTCAATGTTTTATTCACTTCTATCTTGTGAAAGAGAGTAAAGCAGTGTCCCTGGAAATACTCATCCTGGAAGAGGCTATAATTATTATTCAAATTAAAAGAAGCATTAACAGAAATCCAGAAAATGGAGAATACTAATCTGGAGTCTTTTATTTCAGCCTACAAGGAAAAAATGAAGGAGCTGTCCATGCTGTCACTGATCTGCTCTTGCTTTTATCCAGAACCTCGCAACATCAACATCTACACTTACGATGGTAAGTTGCTTACAACACAAATGCCCCTGCTGACTAGATCATTTGGAAAAGCTTGGGTACATCATTTGTTTCTGTCCTATAGCTCCTGATATAATGAAATCAATATTTTTTACATTTCATTATTGACTTGCTGTGTCTAACTATTAGATCTTATTGATTCTCGATTGCCCCAAACAGTTTGAGTTTGATGCTAATCACAGCACATTAATGTCTCTTAAGAAACAGTTTCAGGGCCTCCCCAGTGGCGCAGCAGTTGAGAGCTGGCTTCGAAGCTGCCCGCAGCCTCTGCAGCGCTGGTTTGATTCCCGGCCGCTGGGTGAGGGTCCCACATGGCGCGCAAAACTCTTCTGCCGCGCCCGCTGCTCCCCTCAGCAGTGTACTTCATCCGTCTGCCTGTTCTGCTCCCTGCTCTGGCTCTGGTGAATTCTCTCACCCTCCTGTTCTTCTGACTATACCCAGTGCTTATATAAATAAATAAATAAATAAATAAATAAATAAATAAATAAATAAATAAATAAATAAATAAATAAATCTTTAAAAAAAAGAAAGAAACCGTTTCAATTTCCAAACAAAACTCTTTAGAATGTAGACACAATGACTACTTTGTATAAATTCAGTTAGCAGATAAACTACATAGACTTTAATCTGCTGAAGAACCATGACCAGTAATACAGCTAAATTTCTGAGGTCTTAATATCTCACTTTGTGTTATCATTGAAGTTCCAAAGACGACTATAGAACAGACCTCACCTTCCAGGAATTTAGACATAATAGAAGAGAATCAAACATATCATATGCAATAATCAATAGAACTTTGTGTGATTACATTCTAAGACAGAGGTTCTACAAAATGTACTCATAGAACAGGAAGACAGTGATGATTTCTGCTCACTTAGGGATTGAAGAGGAGACAGAAGAAAGTAAGAAGTTATCTATACGTGAGTTTTAGGTGTTAAATAGATAGTTTTACATTGTTCATGCACTGCTTCCTAAAAGAGTTGGTAGGAAATCTCAAATTTCCAAAGTCTTTTTTTAAGATTTATTTTTATTTATTTATGCATATAAGAACTGGTGTGTAGGGGGTGAGAGGATTCACCAGAGACAGAGTGGGGAACTGAACAGGCAGACTGACTGAAATACACTGCTGAGAGGAGCAGCGGGCGAGACAGGAGAGGTCTGCTGTGCCAGGTGGATCAGCTCCCTGGCCAAGGATCTAACTCATGTAGCAGTGGCTGGTGATGCTTGATAGCACTGAGACTTTAACCCCTGCGCTACCAGGGAGGCCCAAATTTCCAAACTCTTTAACCTTGCCCTGTGTTTCTATATTAGATAATAGTTTGAAGTGTTTGTTGAAAACAAACATTATGACAAGAATTAATAATTAAAATTGGTGGTGTTTATAAATACTAAGTGCTAGCCTATGCTTTACAATTAGTATCCTTTATCTGGTTTTTTAACATATATACAATTTAATGGAGATATTAATTGACATACAAATTTTTACACATATTTGATATATACATTTTCATGAATTTTCTTTATTTTTTCATCTTCATATCAATCTTAATAGATTAACTTCCCCATTTATCATACAGCTAGTGAAAGATGTTTGTTATTTTGGTACAAATTCAGGCAGTTTTGATTGAGTCTCTAATCCAAGTTACTTAAAATCTATCACCTTTTCAAATAAGTTAATTTTATTTGCCCATGTTCTCGTCCATCCTTTCCATAAGTTTACAGAATTTTTATAGAATTTTACATAAGATGAGACTATAAATTTGGGTACCTTCAAGAAAATTTAACACATTTTTACATTTGTGGGGGAAAAATCATTCCCAATATATTTATTAAACTGATTATATCTATATTGACTGTTGGCATTTAAAGATCTAAGGTCAGTTACTGTTCACCTAGGGTTTTAGTTGACTACAACAATCTCAATGTGCACTAACCAAGCTGTTGAACAAATAGCACTCTTGGGGGAACAGTATGTCCTGAGTGAACTCACCCAATGATGTTTCATGGGCTCCACCCCACCTTCCCAGCCAGAGATCCTGGGTGCCGAGGACTGCAGCTCCCATCATGCCATGAGTCTGCCAAGACTCTTGACTTTGTGAAGGGGGGTTGCTGGGAACTAAGGATGAAATTAAGCAGTCATGCATAGTGTAAAACCAAACACTTGTGGCCTGGAGGGGGCTTGGTTTTTGCCTGCCTTCAGTGTGCACCCAGGGTCCCAGCTTAGGCTGCGTTACTGGTAGGATGGTAGGACACACTGACCAATTAACATCTCTCTCTCTATCTCTCTCCCTCCCTCACCCCTTTCATTTCCCTTGTAAATTATACCTCTTATTATTAACCTTTCTATGTATGCCTGCCCTTGGGTCTTGTTCTGAGTTTTTTTCAGTGTGTGGGCCAGCCAGGACTCCCAGGCCATCCCATTTCCCTTTGGGGTTGCCCTGTAACAGTACTGGAAGAATAATAGTTGTATTAAGAAGTAATATTTCTTCTCTGCTCTGCTCTAATCAGAATTCGATCTGACCACTATGGTTGCTACAATGTAAAAGTGACATTGATAAATCAGACATATATAAATTTGAGATTAGGGAACTACAAGGTGGTAAAGAACCAGAAACAGTGTCACTTTAGGGCACTGAGATATGGGGAGAGGGAATTTTGAAATGGAAAATTATTAGCTATTTTTAAATACTCGAAAGATGGTGATGAACATTAGAAAAGAACTAAGTTTGGGTAAGAGAAAAAATAAGGCCTAGTGGTCCAAAAGGAAAGAGGATGCAGTCAGAGGCTGAAAATAGGTAGTACTCATCTAAAAATGAGAGCTGGCCTATGAATTTTTTTTAAAAAAATTATATTTTACTGTTATAAGTTATGTAATTATCAATATCCTAGTAGATGCCAGTGCTCACTCATGCCGTATTAGAACTTCAAGGCTTAATAGTCTGCTTATCTTTATCGTGGAAACTGCTGATAAAAAAAATGATGAACCATTCTTCAGTTCTCGAATTTAAGCTTTTTTTTAATATATACAGTGTAAAAATTAGATAAGCATATATTGCTCCCCTTTGTGGCTTTCCCTGGCTCCTATCTGCAGCTGCGGATATTCTAACTAACCACAAGATAGGAGAAAAGTTATGACAGTGGGCTCTCATCTTCTTGTCCCATTAGGTATAAGCACTTTGAAGACAGACCCCCCCCCCTTGAAAGTGTTCTCCCCTGAGTGGACACTGTTAAGTGCTGGATGACTCAGATGAGCCAACTCCCTGAAGGTCGAAACAGGAACCACAGGATGTTTTGCACTTTTGCCTTGACTTGGTCAAGTATTTCCGACCAATCAGATATATTGGTTCTAACACAGTCCCTGTGATACCCACTCACAACTGGAGAACTTGGAGAACTTTGCTATTTTCTTTATCGTTTAGCTTGAAACACCTCCAGTTATGATAATTTCCCAAAATAAAAAACAAATCTAAATCTGTGCTTCTTGATTTTCATGTGAAGCTCATATTTATACAAAAGAAAAATAAAGTTTCCTTTAATATCAATTCAGTCTATTTTTTCATTCAACTATAGACATTGTTGAGTTTCCCAACTCTGTAAATATTTATCCTGCTACCCAATATTATACTAAAGAAAGAGGTTTTATATGTTCAAAACAATGTAGAGCAAATAATCATGTGCAACATTGTATTCCTATTTATCAAAATAACAATGCTGCTTTCAGTTGTCAGAATATAAATTATTTAAATGAATCCTTGCATGCTTTTTATGCTTAACATTCTGAAATATTCATTTCTCAGATATGGAAGTGAAGCAAATCAACAAACGTGCCTCTGGCCAGGCTTTTGAGCTGATCTTAAAGCCACCATCTCCTATCTCAGAAGCCCCTCGAACTTTAGCTTCTCCAAAGAAGAAAGACCTGTCCCTGGAGGAGATTCAGAAAAAACTGGAGGCTGCAGAGGAAAGAAGAAAGGTAATTTTTCTCATCCTTTTCTAAATTCTTCTCTTTCCCCGTCTCTCCCATCTGGACCCAACTTCCCCTCTCACTCTCATGTTCCTCCTGCCTCTCTGCCTTCAATAGGCATAAAGCCAGGCTAGTTCAAATAAAAATTGCTGTTTTGAGATTAGTCAAGGCCAAAGATCACAGACATTGAAAGAGCTTCCATGTCTTAGTGCCACTCCCCCCATCTTGGGTCCCATATTGTAAGTGTCTCTACCCTAGTCCATCTTGCATAACCCTTATGGAGAATGCACAGCCTTAAGTAACTTAACCCCAGGGGTTGAGCGTGAAGAGGACACAAGAGTGGTGATTCTTCCCTCTTAGACTTTGCATCCTGCCCCCACTGTAGTCTATGGTTTTCTTTGGAACTGGAAACCACCTGATTCTCCCCCTCAAATAGTTCCTGCCCAGTTGCTATTCACCCCAGAATAAAGGCCAGGAACTAGCCCCTCTGCTCCTCAAAGCCTGGATACCTGCCCTTGAAGTTGGTCCTTTCAAGGTCAAGACTCTCTGGGATCCATGAGTATCTTCCTCCACCCAATTCTCAGCCTCGATGACATTGTTTTCTCCTTTTTCCTATGGTCCCTGTTTACATTGGAGAGCTTCATTTTTGTCAAATCTTTAATTTTCCACAATCAGAATGACTAAGAAAAATCAGCGGTATTTAAAATGAAGGGTACTCAGAAAATTCCAAGAACTCTATAAAAGAGAAGTTATATCTGAATAGATCTGTACCATATGTGCCTATAGGTGACCATCACTTCAAGATGCTCTTGATCAACCCAAATGGAATTATTTTAAGCAATGCATTCCAACATTATATACTCCACTGACTTTATCATGATGTTTTTAAAATCATATAGTCACTAATAATATGCCCCATATATGGTCTTACAATGTAAAGGGAAACTCTACTAATTATCATTTTTATTTTATTAAAATGTTATCTATAAAGAATCAGTCAACATATGAAACTCCATGTTAGTTATTTACAAAGAGAATGAAGATAGTCCTGCTAAAGACTGAATTCTCTAACAGAGAGTGCACCTGTGTGTGTGTACATGGGTATGTGTACACACATGTATACACACATACATATATATACATACTGTGGTATCAAATAATAAATCTCAATGGCTAGAAATCCGCAACTATAGACAACTGACTATAACAATAGAAAGCATTTGCACTTAAGGCAGTTCAAGTTCTCAGCAAACTTTGGCATCCCATAGATAATAGGTATAGGTCATAAGTTGACATATAGAAAGACTGGGACTTGGTTATAATACAGAGTGAGTGACTGAACTGAAATTGAAACTTAGAGATGAAAACTCAGTATAATGGTTCAGGATGCTGCTGCTGTTTCTAGGTAATGTATTTAACTCAAAGGAAATTGTTATTTCAAAAAACCACAGAGGTGATTGAAATTAACTGTTCTCATTAAACTCCCTCGGCTAACAAATACTAATTCTGGCAAAATTTTTATACCTTGACAACAGTGAATTATCAACAATTATGCATTTAAACAGTTGAGTTGGTGGGCCTCCCCTGGTGGCGCAGTGGTTGAGGGCTGGGCTGCTAAACTGCCCGCAGCCTTTGCAGCGCCGGTTTGATCCCTGGCCACCAGCAAGGGTCCCACATGGCACGCAGACCTCTCCTGCCACCCCTACTGCTCCCCTCAGCAGTGTATTTCGTTGGTCTGCCTGTTCTGTTCCCCGCCTTGGCTCTGGTGAATTCTCTCACCCTCCCGCATTTCTGACTGTACCCCCAGTGCTTGTATAAATAAAAAAATCAATCTTTAGGAAAAAAAAAAACAGTTGAATTGGCTAGAAATTGGCCACAAGGCTGAAAGACATTCCAAAATTGTAACACCCAAGTAAAATATTCTTTGGATCCCTTTAAAAATCAATATTCCTTCAAATTTTTGGTGTGACTCGTTAACATTTTCAAGGCAAAAATCATTATATGGATTGTGTCATGGTAGAAGGATTTTTAATTAGAAGAAAATATCAATATAACTAATTAATGAAAAGAGCTAAAGTAAAAAATCATTAATTGATTTATTCTATTGGATTGTACTAACTTAATGCTCATTTGAAGAACTGTTTATTCTCTTTTCGGAGCCTTCAGTAAAGGCATATATCTCAGTAATTATCTTAGTAAGGACATAATTATACCAAAACCTAATTCAACTAGCTAAGACAAAGAAGTGTGACTAAAAAGTCTACCAGTGACTATAGTTTGAAACACCACTGGACCCAGGAGCTCAAGCAATATTGTTTGAAAACTTTCTATTGTCTACCATATCTTCCTACATTTAATTGATTTCAATACCAAGAAAGCTTAGTTTCATAAAACTAGCCCCAAATTACTCTACTTATAAATTAGCAACTCTGGCAGAAAAGAGAGACTCTTTTCCCTAATAGTGTTGGGATTGAGTCTCAGTGACAACCTGTCCGGTCACAACCCCAAGCCTCTGTATGTAAAGGGGAGGCAGCACTTGGATTGACTAGCCAGGATAACAAGCTCAGCGCTGAGCTACCCAGGAGCCGAGGTGACATCCTGAGGTGAGAAGAGTGGAGTAGCAGTGCCCCAAATGAATACTGAGGATTTCTTACCAGAAAAGGGGGAAATGGACTTTTAAAAAGCAACAATGCTATCTAGTCACAGTTCTTATCTGTAAATGTTTAGTGTTACTATAACCATTAGAATAATTATTTACCTCATACATTATTCAACCTGAAATTCTCTGCTTCAGCCCCACCAATATTCCACAAGTTTATTTTCATATATATAAGTATTAACAAAGTAATCTATGCAGCAAAAATGAATAAAAATACGTATATATTTTCAGTTTTTCTAACTTTCACATTAAATAAAATGAAACATTAGAATAGTTATATGCAGGTAATGATGACTGAGTTGGACAGCCTCAGCAATCAACAGATGATTAGAAGACAGAGAACAATGGGAAAACTTCAGACCTAACTCTTTTCAAAGTAGCACCAGATAATTATTCAGGTTTAATTTTACTTTTTTTATTATACATATTCCCTAAGAATCACAGTACTATAAAAACTTAGAAAATTAAAAGAAACTTCCATGTTGTTATTTTAATCTGTCATAGCAAAATCAACCCCCGATGAAACTTAGGACCTACTATAAGTGATAAGATCTTCTAAATCCCACACTGACCTCACTGTGGGAGAAGGTTTCTCTGTGCTAAGTTTCCATCTGATATTCTATTTCATGATACTCGGGTTTGTCTTTTCTTTGTAGCTCTTAGCATAATGTGTAAGCACATGTATATTCATTTAACCCAGTATCTGTCATTAGATTATAAATTCCATGAAGGTAAGCACCGTGTCTTGTCTTTAATAGCTATTTTGTAGTTAGTACTGCAAAAAGTTTTAAGTGAATAAATAAATGACAACTTTCAGAGACAAATGTTAAAGTTGCGATATATAACTTACTTTGACTTTTTATTTCATCCTCCCATCTTAAAACAAATTTATAGTAAAAAAAATAATAAAGCATAGTCAATAATAAGTTTCCAAAAGGCATCTGCTACTGCACTATGTAAATTCTACAATCCAAAGAATTCTTATTCTGGGGGCAATTTTTATTGAGCATCTACTAAGTGAAAGACTGTTCTAGATAGTAGGGATAACTGCACCAACTTTACAATCCCATGGGGAAGGAATAGGTAATAAATAAATATATAATGAATCAGATGATACTAAATAAAGCAGGGCAAAGGGAATTGATAGTGTTTGGGGTGATAACTGTGATTAGTAGTGGGTGAGCAGGAAAAGTGTCTTAAATATGATAGCATTTAAAAATAGCCCAAAGGTAGTAAGGGATATTACTGGAAGGAAAAAAAAAACAGGAAGGTAAAGAGTAAGCCATGCAGCTTTTCTTTAGAGGTAGAACAATTGAACTAAAGAAATTAGCAAGTGGTAGGGTCCTGAGGTGGTAATATGCTAGGACTATTTGGATAATAACACAGAAGCTAGTGTGGATGAAGCAGAAAGGGCAGGGAGAGACTGGTAGGAATTGAACCCAGAAGGAAGCATTTTTAGGTCTTTGACTTAAAATGAAGTGGGAGGCCATTGAGGAAAACAGCCACTTCACTACTTGATGTGAATTTTTTCAGAATATCCATTTTACAAAAGATAAGTGACTAGAAAAATAGTGTTAGGTACATAGAGAAGCCACAAAACTATTCTAAACCAAAATGTTCCCAGAACTAAAGCTTCCAAAAGATGACAATAGAGAAAGCATGTTTTCAGGGCAGTGAATAGACCAGTAGTTTAAATTAGTGAATTTAGGTGAAGTTGGAGAGTAGTGAGGTGAAACTGTGGGTGAACTTGAATGCCAGGTTAGGTGCTTAGCTCCGTTGTATAAGAAATGAGAAGTCTCAAATACTTTGAGAAATCTACAGATGTCCACTCAGCACTCAGCAAAGTTTTCACCACCCTGGATCTACTTCCTTTCCCACAAGTTACAAGCTTTTAAAGATTCTGCCTACCAAACTTACTCCATCCATATGAAGTATTAACAAATTCCTTTTGTCATGATTATAATCAAAGGAATCTAAAACTGCGTATTAATATTTCTGATTATCATAAAATAATAAGCATTTTCTCACAAATTGACATAATTCCAACTCAAGGAAATCTGAATTTAGACATATAGATGCAAAATATTATATCTGAAAAGACTTTTAACTTACAACAGCTTTTGAGCCATTACCCCTCCCATTAGCACCCTTGAAAGAATGGGAACTACTGGTCTATCTAAGCTGTGTTCTGGGATTCTTCTGGATTTCTACCTGGAAGGCTGTTATGGTGGAATCTCTACATGGACTCGAATTCACTGTGTGTTAAATGTCTTGGCAGTTTCCCAGTTCCTCACTCCATCTGTTGACATTATTGCAACACTGACCATCTGGTTACTACACTGGACTATCC